CTCCGCCGCCCCCCGCCTCCTTTGCCTCTTTCCCCGCCAACATCTCCTCCCTTAGCGTCCCACGCCCCTCCAGGTCCGACTCCGCCTCGTCCAAGCTCGTCATCGCGGCCGTCGCAGCCGTCGTAGCTGCCGTGGCCGTCGTCTCCCTCGCCGTCTTCCTCCACCTCCGGAGGCGCACAACCGACGGATCTTCGTCCTTCGACCAGTGCAAAACCCACAGATCTGACAGCAGCAGCAGCGTTTCGTTCAACCAGACAACGCCGGCTGCCCTCAGCCACATCCCCAAGCTTCAGAGACCTTCGCAGCCCAGCTCGGAGTTCCTGTACCTAGGCACTCTGGTCAGCGCACACGCCCCCGGCGGCGGAGCTGCTTTCAACAGCGTAACCGGCACCGTAACAGCTAACTACACCAACAACGGCCCTTCCAATCTCCGGAAAACGGACTCACCGGAGCTCCGCCCGCTGCCACCGCTGAACACACGGAAAGTGTTCCGGCAGAATCTCCGGACCAACAACGGCGACGCGGCGTCGAGCAGAGAGGACGAGAGCGAGGACTTCTACTCTCCCAAAAACTCCATTAATGGCCGCGAGAACTCGATTGACACTGGATCCGCTTCCAGAAGGGCCTTCCCCGCAATTAATTTGGAGAATTTCAACGAACCCACTTCGAATTCGTCGTCCACTTACTCTTCTTCTTCTTCAGTCCCTGGATCGGGCTCAGGCTCCCCGGTGAGGTCCGTGTCATTGAGTCTCTCTCCGGCGAACAATCTTAGCCCTAGAAGCCCCATTCCCAAATCCCCGGACTTAATCGAGATTCAGACTATCGGACCGCTGCATTCCCAGATGCCTCCGCCGGCGGGAACGCCAGGGCCGTTATTTCCAGAATCCTCATCCCCGTCGCCGGCGAGCTCGTCTTCACCGGAGAGAAATTCTAGGAGAAGCGAGGAGTCATTTCCGACGGGTTCTGATATCCCCGACCATAATTTAGAGCCCCCACTAAACATCACCACTGCTCGACCCCCATCAATCCCAGAGAGTGAGAAATCCTCTCCCCTGACCTCGAATGTCGTGCCTCCACCCCCGCCGGAATCCCTACCAGGGTCGCCCTTAAGTTTATCTTCCCCAGAAAGACACTTGCAAACATCAATGCGAATCTCGAATGTCTCAGATCAGAATTTAGAATCCCCGGCTGCAATTAGCAGCCCCGTCCGGCAAGCATCGCCAATGAATTCCAGTACGAACTCGCCGGTGAGAATTACCAATCCTGAACATCTCAACAGCACAGATACGCGAGATTTATTGTTACCCAAGCACTCAGAACCATTGCCTACAGTCTCAAACATTCCAGATCAGAATTTGCCGGAAAAATATCCGACCAGTGAAGAATCATCACCAAGAACATCAATAAGCTCAGATCAAGAAGTCGAGTCGGCTACTAAAATTAGCAGCCCAGTTCAGCATATCACCGGCAATACTGTCATTCCTGTGGTGCCTCCACCGCCACCTCCATTGCCGCCAAGTAAGCTATGGGGAAGCCCGAAAACTCCTACACCGCCGGAAAAGAGGCTCAGTGGGCCACCCGTTTTGATTAAGCCCTTTAAACCAGTTGTTGTCGAGAGTCTAGCTTCGATTTCTCCAATTGAGTTGCCCTCGAATGAGGAGGGATTAGAGTTTCCAAATAAAGAACACGAGTGCTCAAGTGAAGATATCGACCAGAATGTGGATAATAATGGTTCGAAACCTAAACTGAAGCCTTTGCATTGGGATAAAGTAAGAGCGAGTTCCGATCGCGAGATGGTGTGGGATCAGTTCAAATCCAGCTCTTTTAAGTATGATGATTTGGTCTTCTAATTTGTTTTTTTTTTAACTCTTTTACTTTTGAATTAAATGTGTTGAACTGCATATATGCAGATTGAATGAGGAGATGATTGAGACGTTGTTTGTTGTGAACACACCAAAACCAAAACCGAACCCGAATGAAACAACTAGGTGGCAGGTTCTTCCCTTGCTCGGTCAAGACAATGGTGATCATCGAATTCTTGATCCGAAAAAGTCTCAAAATGTTGCCATCCTTTTGAAAGCACTCCATGTGACTGTTGATGAAGTTTGTGAAGGTCTTCTGGAAGGTACTTTACTTTCTGAACAAGTTTTAAACTTGAAAATCTTGACTATTGCCATGGAATCCATTGTTCATTATGTCTTGGTATAGTATAGATAACATTATGTATCATTACTTGTTTCAAATGTCATCAGGTGCATGACTTTTTTTTTTTTTTTGGATCGTATTATTTGACTTTTCTCATTGAAATTCTTGAATAGTGAATAACACTTTCTCATTGTATTGCAAAATGTCATGCTTCTTGTCTCTAAAAACCTATTTAATGAAAATATAGAATGTTGATTTGATTCTTTCACCTTATATACAATGTATTCTACTAGAAACAATGTAGGGATGATAATTTTCATTGTCAATTTTTATTTTTGGCCATTGATTACAGGTAATGCCGATATTCTCGGTACTGAACTTCTCGAAAGTGTATTGAAGATGGCTCCAACTAAGGAAGAAGAACGCAAGCTTAAAGAATACAAGGATGATTCCCCATTAATCAAACTTGGTCCTGCCGAGAGATTTCTGAAAGCGGTTGTTGATATACCTTACGCATTCGAACGAGTCGAGGCTATGCTTTATATATCCAATTTCGACTCGGAAGTTGAGTACCTCCGAAAGTCATTCGCAACTTTGGAGGTAACATTTCAATTTAATTACAAACCACAATTGAGATATTATGCATTTGTCGGCTAATTAAGACTAGGGCTGCAAACCGAGTCAAGCCTTAGTCTTATCGAGCAAGATTGATTTTTTTTTTACGTGCTCGAGCTCGTCAAACTCGATTTATGACGCTCGAGATCAACTTGACAAAAGAAGACAATATCTCGAGCTCGGCTCGAGATCGATTGAAATCAAAATGCTCGAGTTCAACTCGAATTTCAAGTAAAATTACCATTAAGTAATATATATAAAATATTGTAATATTTATATATAAGGGGTATCTTATTAATTTACTATATAAGCTGCTCGAGCTTGGACTCAAGCCAAGCTTTGACTCGATTCCTTTGTAGCCCTAATTAAGACACTCGTAAAATAATAAGGATCACAACATGATCAGACAACAATAACTGACAACCTCGAAACTCCACTCGATCTTAACAGGCTGCCTGTGAGGAACTCAGGAACAGCAGAATGTTCCAGAAGCTTCTAGAAGCCGTCCTCAAAACCGGGAATCGCATGAACGTGGGCACTAACCGAGGGGATGCCCACGCGTTCAAGCTCGACACTCTTCTAAAGCTCGTTGATGTAAAAGCTGCCGATGGCAAAACAACCCTTCTCCACTTTGTAGTGCACGAGATTATACGAGCCGAGACCTCGACTAACGATGATGCCAGGTGTCGAAAGCTCGGTCTCCGAGTCGTCTCGTCACTCGGCTCCGAGCTTTTGAATGTGAAGAAAGCTGCCGTCATGGATGCCGACGTGCTCGGAAGTGATGTCAGCAAGCTCTCGAAAGGCATCGATAGTATTCGGGAGATTAATACTAATATCATGTTGTTAGGGGGAGAGAAGTTTGTGGAGAATGTGGGCTTTTTCTTGAGGCGGGCCGAGGAGGAGATTTTTCGGGTTCGGGCCCAAGAGAGTTTGGCGATGTCTCTGGTAAAGGAGATTACGGAGTATTTTCATGGGAACTCGGCGAAAGAGGAAGCTCACCCGTTTAGGATTTTTACGGTCGTGAGGGATTTTCTAGGGGTTTTGGAGCGGGTTTGCCGAGAGGTCGGGTCGGTGAACGAGCGAACCATGGTTAGCTCGGCTCACCGGTTTCCAGTCCCGGTTAATCCGATGCTGCAGCAGGTTTCAGTGGGGTTTCAGGCTAGGAAGTGTGGTTCATCTGGTGAAGATGATGATGATGATGATGATAATGATACTGAGAAGCTTCACTTTGGTGGTTAATGCCCTTTCGTCATCATTTCTTTTTCTTTTATTTAGGTAAATATATAATTTTTTTTTGTATTTAATAAATAGATGAACATAAAGAATATTGAAAACCAGGTGGGTTTTTTTCATAGATTTATACAACAATGCATTATGTTTATGTTATAAGTTACAACCAGTGGGGATGATATAGAAGTGTGTTTTCCTAAATTCTTGCGTGAAGCTAGTTTTAATTGAGAAAAAAGTACATAAATATGAAACAAAAAACCATCTTATAGCAACAATGTATATGGATTGTTTTTCCTCTTTGTGCCTTTCTGTTATGAAGAAAAACAGTTTACTCGAGCCGACTTCCTATACATCTCAAGCTACTTCATTAAAAGAGTTCCTTAAAAAGGTACACTCTCTTTTCCACCTATTTTACTTCCATTTTTCTCAAGAAAAAAAAAATAAAAAAAAATAGTAATCACACGTATTTATTTTGCTTATCCAAATACTTGCTGAAATTACCATGCTACCCTTGTTATTTCCATCCTTTCATCTCATCTTATCTCATCTACTAACCACACATCACAAAACAGTTGGAGATTCTTCTGTGAGAAGCACATAAACAATGCTTCTGTCTCCTCAAAGAAAGTATACACGAAGAAAACAGACCTATGTATAATGAGTCAAAATCTCTACTCATGCATATATTATACTTTTACAAAGGCACGGGCTTCAATGGGAAATTTGATTCCCCTGAGAAAATTTTATACATAACTATACAGCTTCAGCTTAGGCCTTAGAAGTGTCTAATTCATTGACAACATATAACTAACTAAACTGAAAAAGTTCCCCCCTGAGACTGAGAGCATACACAACACACACACACACACACACTTATATATCCCAAGAAAAGGAAGAAAGAAAAATGGAGCAGCACATATATATTAAACACAAACATGAACATGAATTATTCTTCACTTTCCCTCTCACCTTTTTTATTTTTTTATTTTTTTAACCCGTTCTCCTGCACGTCAGGCACGGACAATAAGCTCGACGAGCTTCTCATCATCATCACCATCATCATTCTCCGGCACCAATAATATCTCATCCTCAGTCGTGAAATCGTACCTTTCCCCCACCGCCCTCAGCAACTGATAAACCTCAAACATAGTGGGCCTCTCCTTATGGCCCGGCCCAACACACCTACACGCAACCTTCAGAAACTGAAAAAGCTCGCCGTCGAAACCTTTCCCCACCAAACACCCGTCGATCGAGTCCCTCAGCCTCGACTCACCCGAAAGGCCCAATACCCACTCGGCCAAACTCCCCTTGAACCCCTCGTGGGCCCCGCCCACATGAGTCGGCCTCTCACCCGTAACCAACTCCAAAAGCACGACCCCAAAACTGTACACGTCACCTTTCGGAGTTGCAACGAGGGTTCAAGCATACTCGGGCGCCACGTAACCCAGGTCTCCAAACTCGCCGTTTACGAACGTGCTCAGGTGGGTGTCGACCGGGTTCATTAAACGGGCCAGCCCGAAATAGGAGATCTTGGGCTCGAAATCCGAGTCCAGCAGAATGCATTTCGAGCTGATGTTTCGGTGGATTATGCGCGGGTTGCAGCTGTGGTGGAGCCACGCGAGCCCCTTGGCTGCTCGGGTGGCGATTTTTAGCCGTGTGGGCCAGTCCATATTGTGGAGCGTGTCGTGAAGGGTGCCGTTTGGCATGTAGGGGTAAACGAGGAATTTTTCATTTTTGGTCAGACAGTAGCCGACGAGCGGGACTAGGTTGCGGTGCTTCACGTTCCCTAAGGTTGCCATTACGGACACAAACTCTTTTTCCGAGTGTTGGGTGTCCTGAAGGCGTTTGACCATGAGGCAAGTCCCATCTTGAAGGATGGCCTTGTACATTGTTCCGGTTCGACCCGACCCGATTATGTTCTCGTTGCGGAAGTCGTTGGTTGCTTTCATGAGGTCGTTTAGACTCATTTTCGAGACCGATTTCTCAAAAGTCGACAGCTGTGAACAGAGAGGTAGATTTTTTTCTAATTTCGGATCATTACAAGATACAAAAAAGTCGAATTATCTTGTAAACTACAAAAAAGTCGAATTATATAGAAGAATAACTCATGGGCTTCTTCTTTATTTTTTTTTTTAAAATAATTTTGTAAGATGATTGAAACTTCGAAGACAATGTAAAAACTATATCTTATCTTGCCTTGACGTGTTTTGCGCCTTTGATACTCTTGGCCCATTTATTCCCAAGAGGGTCCTCTTCCTTCTTCTCCTTCTTCTTCTTCCTTGACAAATAAACGTACATCCCAACAAACACACACATGGCCCCAACGAGCACCCCACCAACTACTCCCCCAACAATCGCCGGATTCCGATCCTTCACCGGCGGGCCCGGGCAACTTCGCAGCCCAATCCCACCGCAAAGGCCCAAATTACCCTCATAGCTATCGAGCCCAAATGTGGCATTCCAAAAGTTGGGCACAGGCCCAGTCAACCGATTCCTCGCCACTGAAAACGTCGTCAACCGGCCGAGCTGACCAATCCGCATCGGTATTTGACCGGTCAACCGGTTGTTCTCGAGTTTGAGTGTGTTGAGGTAAGTGCAGTTTGCGAGATTTTCGGGAATCTCGCCCGAGAACTGATTTGAGGAGAGGTCGAGCGATGTGACATAACCGATGATGTAAGAAATGTTAACCGGAATCTGTCCGTGGAGTTCGTTGCTCGACAGGTCGAGTCCTGTCATGGACGAACAATTCGAGAAGCCTAAGGGAAAATTGCCACTTAGCCCCATTCCAGAGAGTTTGACGTTGAGGACTCTATTGTCGTTCTCGTGCCAGCACTCGATACCGTTGAATCTGCAAATCGATGTGTTTGTCCCGTTTTCGAAATTCCAAGTGTCTAAATGGTTTGACGGGTCTTGAAGGGAGGACTTTACGGCTCTGAGGCACTCGACATCACTTGAAGTGGTGTGGACGAGTTTAATGATAGAGAGGATATAGATTGTAATGGTAATGAGGGAGATATGTGCATGGAAATCAGACGACATGTTTGGTTAATTGGAAAACGATTTCAAGATTGATGTCAGCATGACGAAGCCTCGGAGGTTCGGTTCCTGGATGAGATTCGAAATCAGGCCACATATAGAAAAGGGTTCGAGTGAAAATATGCAAAAGGTGACAATTAGCCTAAAGACAAGTGCAAGATGTGAAGAACAAAAGGCAAGTTAAGGTAACGAATTGAAGAAAGATCCTTTCATATTCTATATGGATACTTAAGGGTTCAAGAAAGTAACAGAGACTAAAGGCTTTACCGTCTAAATAAAGACTGAACAGAAGAAAACAAAAGCAAATGACAAAAGATGAGAGACATATGGCTAAGGCGAAAAGCTACAAAAAGAAACATAATAGTAGTGTATAATCATGCATAGCCTGGAACATTATTAATTACCATGCTTGGATCGAATCATACAATAGCCGAATTGCGAGCACAAGTTCCTAGATTCATGATGATATAGAATTATATCATGCTTGCATATTCATCATTTCGTCCCTAAAAGTTACTCCAGCACCAAAACTAACGTTCTACCTTAAGTTCATCCAAATTCCAATTCAATTAGTAACAATAAAGATATTTCACAAGTGATAATTGGATGTAGACAGAAACTCGAGCAACATCAAAGGCCAATAAAAGTGTAAAAAGAGAAAACAGAAAGAAAAATCACAAAACTCTTCAAAGACCAAGCTAAAACAGAATGAAATCACATAAAGGGGAAGAACAAAAAGAGCCAAAAAGAGTAAACTCAAACAAGATTCATGAGAAACTACTAACCCACATGACAATTTGATTAAAAGTGAAAACTTTATGGCAAACCCACCTGCTATCCCACAAAATTGTGCTGAAAACACACAACGGTTTTGCCAAATAAAAAACCCATGAACTCAAAATCAGCCCAGATAAAGGGAAAACACGAAAATCCAGCCCTACAAGTGAAACATCATCCAAAAGGCAGCATCAAAACATCATAACAAAAAAATAACACAAAGAAAAATAAAAGATTGTGCTATTTATATATACCCTTGTAAAAAAAATACTAAATAAAACACTGTAAAACGAATGGAACTCTACCGGGGCTGTGTGAAAGCTTGGATCTTTGATGCTCAAAGAGGAGACTTTTAGGAGTGGACCTCAGCTATATCAAATGGCTCCAAATTTTTCCAATGAAAATTATTATGTAATTAGTACAGTTGGAAAATTTTCCAACTCTGTGCAACTGTTGAATTTCGTATGAAAACACGGGGCAGCCTTTGAAACTATTTCGTTTACGTCATTTCTTGTTTTTTTTAATCTATTTTTTCCTTCATTTTTCCTGATTATTTTTTTTTCCTTTTAAAAGTCTTTTTTTCTAGTGGGTCATGATACTCATGAATAGTCATGATGAATGACCGGAGATTGGAGAAGGGTGAAAAAAGACTATGTTTGTTTACGAGAAATTTTTAAAAAATTTTCAATATTTTATTTCAACCATTTTTTTTAATTTAACTTTAACTCAACTTTACTATCATCAAAATTATCAATATGATTAAATAATATCAATCAATCATTCATACACACTACATCAACCTTAATTCACTATCCATCCACTCATATTATTTTAACTAATCATCACTTCAAATCTCTCTCTCCTACTTTTACATCAAATTAATTTAATTATTTTATTATAAATATTATTTTAATATACCCACTAACATAGTTTTTAAACCCGGTCCGGTGATCGACTCGGGCAGGTCCTCGGGTCACCGGGTCAATTGTTGAACCGGATAATTAATTTTAAAATTTTTAAAATTATATATATGGTATTTTTGTTATATAAATATACATAAAAGTAATAAAATTAAATATTTTGTGTATAAAATTTGTATATTAAAGTGTTAATAATATGTATCTCATGATAAATATTTACCATAAAAACATATACATAGTTTTATTTTTAAAAAAATAAAAAAAAATATAAAAAATATAATAGACTGGGTCAACCGGGTTGACCCGGGCGGGTCAATGCCCCGAGTCGACCGGGTCTCGGCCGGGTCGGCCGGGTTTTGACCGGGTCCTTGGTTGCCCGGTCCAAATACTCCACCCGGACCGGTTCCAGTTCCAGGTCGACCGGGTCCCGGGTCGACCCGCCGGGCCGGTCCGAGTCACAAAACAGTGTCCACTAATAACTAATCATACTACCTTTTTCAAAATTAATCAAAACAAACCAAAAAATTAAAACCAAACAAAAATTTTTTATAAACAAACATGCTCGACACGTATGCGACGACCACCAAATGCTCGACTTTTCTTTGGCCCCATTTTCGTTTCTTGTTTTAACCAAAAGTGTGTTTACACCGGAAAATTGGTACCGTTTCATTATATGTACTCACATGGCACACATATTTTTATCAAGTTTTTTACTATTATATCAATACACACACTCGTACATATAAATGTGTGTAAAAGTATCACATGAGTATGTATGATTTGTCTGGTAAAAAATCTTATAATGCAATTTATCAACACACGATTTCTTGTTTAATCGTAACAAAAAGCTTTAAACGAACACAAATCTCAAGTCCGCAATGTATCTCCAAACAGTGTGTTAGTGTTTTGCTTAGTATAATGTGTGAAAATTATGAAAGCATAGTCCTCAATGATGTTGCTTGTTGAAGACTTGTCGTCGCTATTTTGAAACAAATGAGTTAGTTAGAGCATGTGCAATGTTTTGGTTCTTTTGCCTACGTGGCATATAAGAGCATCTCCAATGTATAAATGTTGTTATCACATAAATTTTGACAAATATCAATCATTTAGATGGATTATGAACCACATAACATATTTGTGAAATTCACAACTTTAAATCTAAAAAATTATCTACAATGTACAATGTGATCAAACATAATATTGTCTACTTGGCAAAAATTAAAAATTATAAATAAGAAACCAAAAAATATATATTTTGAAAATGGTAATAATATTTCATTCTCATATCTCAATTGCTTGATTAGAATGTGGATGAACCACATTCATCTCTACATTGTATACATTAATTAGGTCAACTCCATCACTACATTGGTAATTACATTGTGCGTTGTATGATTAAAAGTGGAGACATTGTTAAATTTGTTAATATAAATTGTAATTTACTACAACTACATTTTACCATTGAAAATGCTCTAAAGTCTTGGATGACATGGATAAAATAATATGAAATTAACAAAATTCCCTTCAATGCAAGAGACTAGGTCTTTACTTGGGTTTAAAATAGACTTAAGTATAGACCGAGTCTATTTTTCTTGTTGCCACATCAGCAGGACTCAATCTACTTGCACTTACATTGGTGAATATATTCTTTTAGACTGTGTCTATTATCCAAGTGACATATGAATTTTTCTGATTGAACCAAAAACATTGCGGATGCTCTTAGCAGAGTAGGTCTTGAACTTTATGTAATAAATGTTCTCTGTGTTATTGTTTTTTTAAAGTAAGTTCATATATAAAAACAAAATGTATAGTGTTACTACTTATGTATATATATATATATATATTATGGTAAAACTTCGTTTGAAACGATGTGGTAGAAAGCAACGTGCGGCTTGACGGATAGGGTCCGTTGTGGATTGAAAATCCACCATTTTTCCAATTCTCTAGGAATGAGGATGCTCTTGGCTCGACATTGTTTGTTCTGTTCCGCTTGAACCCTTCATTTTTGTTGGGTTGTAAATAGTCTACAATGTAGCTCGAGTAGAAATATGCATTTTTCGGGGACAAGGATCTAGGGTTAATGCCAATCAATCGGAAGAACTTCGTAAATATATCTTCTATATATATATATATATATATAAAGGATCCAATTGGAGCAAGTTTCCAATTCAAAATTCAAAAGCAAAACTTGTTGGAATTGATCAAACTTTTGCGATTCAAAGTGTATCACGCAGGAATGAATTGTCCAAAGGATTCTTTGCTAAAAAGAAATAAAAAAAGGTATGTTGCTGCCCTTTTGAATATATATATATATATAAAAAAAAAGCGTGTGTGTTGAGCAAAATCTTAAAAGTCACTCATGAAAATGTTGGAATAAATCTTTTATTTCTTGAAAACAAAAAATAAATTGTTAGAACTTTTCAACTTTTCCTTTACTTAAATATATATCTTAAAATATTCATTGTAGGAAATAATATTCAATAACAATTTAATATTTTTTATCGAGAAAGTACTAGTTTTGATATTCAAGAAAATTGAATAATAGCGTTAAATAAAATTCGCCTTAAATTGAGTTGATATGATTGACTATTAATAATTATTAGTAACATTATTGAATTGTGTGGTAATAATTTTTCTGTATATTCAGACAAGAAAAAATAAATTTTAAAAAGCGAAGTTATTTAAATCAAATGAGAAAATCAATATACGGTATACATGTAGAAAATAAAAATCCTAACAAAACCTAAAATTTGATACATACAAAATTACAAATCCTAAAATTTGATACATACAAAATTACAAATCTTCATTAGCATGTTGAGAGATAAAATTTGAAAAAAAAAAGTTTATTCGAGATGAATTTTACTTAAATTTATATATGGATAAAACAATAGAATACTCAGACAAACAATTCGAAAAACATTAAAAATATAAAATTGAAAACATTATTATTTCTAAAAAATAAATTTAATGAAAAGACATCATGCCATTATTTATATAAAAAGTAAAAACTAATTTTGACTGACTTTTCTCCGAATCTATCAAGAACCTACCTATCAAGTTTAAAGGAAATTAACATTCTAAATCTGAAAATTCACGATAGCCTCATGTCTGATTCCTTAACGCTCCCCAGTAAATATATTCATTAATATTAGACAACTTTAATAATATATTATTTATCTTATTCCAAACATAAGTTATTTGCTCTTTTCTCTTTATATACATTTTTTCGGACTACTTACATTGAAATAAACGTTTGGTATTAATTTGATCCAACTAAATTTAGTGCAGGCTACATATAGAAGTTATCCTAAAACATATTTGATCTAACTAAATTTATTTCAGGTTATTATAAAATAAAAGTTATCCTAAAACATATAGAAGTTATCCTAAAACATATTTGATCTAACTAAATTTATTTCAGGTTATTATAAAATAAAAGTTATCCTAAAACATATAGAAGTTATCCTAAAACATATTTGATCTAACTAAATTTATTTCAGGTTATTTTAAAATTAAAGTTATCCTAAAACATATGGCACGCTTTCATTATTGCCTGCTGCAATATCTGAGTAGTGGTGCGTGGTAATTGGAGTTTGGAATAACTATCGCAAAGTCCTTATTTTGATATATACAATGTGAACTTCAATTTAATGAAAAAATGTTATTTTTAATCAATATTAGTCCATAAATTCAATTTAATGAATTAACAATTTGTCCATTTTTATCTAATCCAAGGGTAAGAAAAAAAAAAAAACTAATGTTAGTCAATTAAAATATCAATTTGAATTATATCCAACCCATTCCAATTGTTTCATAAANCATGAACTAATTTTTACAAAATCACCTTAAATTTTCATTTACTAAGTCCTTAATTGGATACAAATTATCTGGTTATTCAAAACATAACTCAAATTCAACTCAACACAACTATCTCGATAATATCAATATAATTGAATAATATCTGTAGACATCGAAATTTTAATATTTTATTAATTAATGTCTTTATTTATTTTGGGACATAAATTTAAGATAAATAAGATATTTAATTAATAAAATAAATATTTCTTGCCCAGTCAAATTTTAGGATAAGGAAGGAGATTATATCAAATCTTAGGATAAGGAAAGAGATTATATCAAATCAAGAAGGACCAATCAAATTGATGTCTTCTTCTCCAAGACTCTCTCTCGTACACCTATAAATAGGGCTCTCCTCAAAGTCACGAATTACACCCATCACACCTCAAACACCCAAGACACCTCAAAAGTTTTATATTTTCCATAAAATTTGTTGTTACAAATTTGGCACGCCGAGTGGGACATTCTCTACCTCTCATCTCTTCTCCCCAAATCAAATTTGAAGATCTATGAACATGCATGATGACCTCTGTGAAGAAAATGTACATGGGGGCAACGAAGGATGATGTTTTCCTAAGCCATGAAGCCGCCGAAAACCGTCGTGTTCATCAAACATCCGAATGGAGGAAACAAAAGTGGTCTTCCATATTATTCTCAAATTCCATGGGGCAATTTACATGAAGAGCTTCATCAAATCCTCAAATTCAAATGCTCCTTGACATGAGCCTAAACTATCTACATAGTCAAATGCTCCTTGACAAGAGCCTAAACTATCTACATATTTTTTTGCTCCTTGACATGAGCCTAAACTATCTATATGGCTCCTTGACACGAGCATAAAGATGTCTATATATCAAGATCTCATTGACACGAGAATAAAAGGTCTACATATCAAACTTTAAGGCTCCTTGACACGAGCATAAAATGTCTACAAATTTGAAGACTCCTTGATACGAGTATAAACTATCTGTCAAATCAAATCAACACTCCTTGATACGAGTATAAACTATCTATAAATCAAATCAAATGAAGAACTTCTTGATACGAGTTTAAACTATCTACAGATCAAGTCAAATGAAGAACCCCTTGATATGAGTTTAAACTATCTACAAACTCAAGTCGAAGAACTCCTAGATAAGAGCTTAAACTATCTGCATGTCCAAACCAAATTTCAAAAATTTGAGACTCATTCACTACCAAGACATTTTGTCCGCATTTGTAGACATCGAAATTTTAATATTTTATTAATTAATGTCTTTATTTATTTTGGGATATAAATTCAAGATAAATAAGATATTTAATTAATTAAATAAATATTTCTTGCCCACCAAGTCAAATCTTAGGATAAGGAAGGAGATTATATCAAATCTTAGGATAAGGAAAGAGATTATATCAAATCAAGAAGGACCAATCAAATTGATGTCTTCTTCTCCAAGACTCTCTCTCGTACACCTATAAATAGGGTTCTCCTCAAAGTCACAAATTACACCCATCACACCTCAAACACCCAAGACACCTCAAAAGTTTTATGTTTTCCATAAAATTTGTTGTTACAATATCAATTAATCATTCTTATATCACATCAACCCTATTTTAATTAACTCACATTATTTTAATTACTTATCACTTTCAATCACATTTTTTATACTTTTACATTAAATCAAATTTAATCATTTAATTTTAAATCTTATTATAAGAGAAACTCAAAATCACATTCAAACATAACTCAATCAATTTTTTCAGAATTAACTTTTGTTATCCAAAAAATTCAATGAAAACCAAAATAACTTATATGCAATCACTCCTAAAAGAAATGGATTATATAAACAAACAAATAATAGGGAAAATAAAAAAAAAAAATAGAAACTCTGGAAATAGCAATATTTAGTGGAGTGGCAGAAAGAATTAAAGCAAAGGTCATAAAGGAGAGCGCATGTGATTGCAGCGTATAGCTGTCGGAATTTGACAGTCACAAATACAACTTCTCACCCCTAACCTCACTTTCCACTTTCCCCTAAACACACACTCCTCTGTTAGTGTTGAAACCCTCGCTTCCCAAGCAAGATGGTCTGAGTACTCCCTCCGCTGCCGCCGATCGCCTCCGTTCAATTCGTCCTCCGGCCCTCATTTGTCTCCCGATCGGTAAGTTCTCGGTTGCTTTATGGTTGATGAGCTTGCGATCAAGAATCGTACTTTATCCATTTTTAGGTTCATGTGTTCTGACGAATGCTCATAATTTGGATATTTTTAGTTCTCGAGCTGCTGTTTTCGGCTGCATTTTTCGATTTGACTTGCTGATGTGTGTGTGTGTAGTTGTGGTGAATTTTATGTTGTGCTTTTGTGAATTTATTTGATCTGATAGTAATTTATCTATTTTTAGGTTCATGGGTTCTGATGAATGCTCGTAATTTGGATATATTTAGTTATCGAGCTGCTGTTTTTTGGCTGCATTTTGTCGATTTGACTTGCTGATTTGTGTGTGTGTGTGTGTGTGTAGTTGTGGTGAATTTTATGTTGTGCTTTCGTGAATTTTGTCGATCTGATAGTAATTTTCTAATTTAAGTTCATGGGTGCTTGTGAATGCTCGTAGTTTTTATAATTTTTGTTCTTGAGATGCTTTTTTCGGTTGCACTTTGTCGATCTGACTTGCTGTTTTGTATGGGTGCGTGTAATTGTGGTGAAATTTTGTTCTTCTTTTGTGAATTTTGTTGGTCTGATCGTACTTTGTCTATTTGAGGTTCATGGGTGCTGGTGAATGCTCGTAATTTGGATAATTTTAGTTCTCAGACTGCTGTTTTCGGCTGCATTATGTCGCTTTGACTTGCTGATTTGTGTGGGTGTGAGCGTGTGTAGCTGTGGCTAATTTTTGTTTGGCTTTTGTGGATTTTGTTGATCTGACTGTTGATCTGATTTTGTTGAGTGTTTAGTGCATAATTTCCTCTTTTTGTAGTGGTTTTGTTTTCTTTTTATTTTTTGAAGTGATATTTTTTGTGCAGATGTTCATGTGTTGAGAGTTGATACATTCTTTAATCTTCTGTTGACTTATATTCTTGAAAGAATTTTGACTTGACCTGTGCTGTGACTTTGACTTATGTATTTAGTCAATTGTGTTTTATGTTTACTTAAATTGATGTTAAAGTTGAAGTAGTTTCCTTTTGAGTTCATGCTCTTCATTCTTGGTTTGATTCAGTTTCTAGGCCATTTTTTCATTCCTATGTCGAGCTTTCATTTATGTTCCAATGAACAAATGAAAAAAAAAAAAAGATCAAATAATGTAAACTCAAGCACAGATTTTCTTTCTTGTTTTGCTCTAAGGTCTATTGTTGTCGAATTCAATCGAAACAGAGAATTACAATAAAGCAAGTTCTGTGAAGATGCAAGCTTGAATTTGAATTCTGCTGAATGAGATGCTTAGATCATTATTGCTAGCTGACAATATGTTTAAACCTTTGTTCAGAAACTTTGAACCATGGATGAAAACTTATCAGCTGCCACGATAATGGACTCCACAGCCTCTAAGATACAACAACTTCAGAAAGCATTCGCTGAGCTGGAAAGCCACCGAGCCATCACTATGAATTTGAAATGGAAACAGCTTGAAGAACATTTTCACGGGCTCCAAAAATCTCTGAAGAGACGCTTCACTGAACTCGAAGAACAAGAGAAGGACTTTGAAACCAAAATATTCGAATCCAAAGAGATTCTGGAGAAACGTAAAGCAGCCGTTGCTGCTAAGGAGCAAACTTCGCTCGAGAGGCTTCAAGAGAAGCGAGATGCTGCGGTCTCGTCCATTTTAACTGCCATGGGAAAGCATGAGAAGCAAGAGAATCGAGTCGAATCGCAAGTTCTTGAGGAAAAGACACCTAACGAACAAAAACCTGCTGAAATTACGAATATCGAGGTGAAGTCTTATCCGGAGTTGGTGAAATTGTGCCGAGAGATGAACTCTGAGGGACTTCATAAATTTATATCTGCCAACCGTAAGGATCTCGTCACTTTAAGAGATGAAATTCCTGTTGCTTTGAAGGCTGCTGCTGATCCTTTCTCTCTCGTGTTAAACTCACTCAAGGGCTTTTATGGAGTCGACGTGCAAAACTCGGATTCTAAAAAGGATTCGAATCTCTTAGGCATTCGCCGAACGTGCATTATGCTGATGGAATGCCTCAGCAGTTTATTCACGAATGTGAATGCTGACTCGCTTTCTGATATTATATCGGATAATTGTAAGGAGAGGGCAAAAGCTGTTGCCGAAGAGTGGAAGCCGAAGTTGGATTATCTTGATGTTGATGCCAGCAATGGGAATTCCTTGGAGGCCCATGCATTTTTACAGCTTTTGGCTACTTTTGGAATTAATTCGGATTTTGACCAGGATTGCTTGTCCAAATTAATACCAATGGTTTCGCGCCGTCGGCAAACAGCTGAATTGTGCCGTTATCTTGGCTTGTCAGATAAAATGCCAGGTTAGTAATAGTTAATCTCTGGTTAAGGTTTAGTTATTTTCCGCTATTCTATGTGATTGCAGAAAGTTCTTATTCAAGGGTGCAAAGCATAAGTTTATATGATGGGCTCATGTCAATTGTACTCATACCGTAAATTCAGGCTGTTTTTCTTCTGTTCTTTTAGAATTTTTGAATATATGTTCACATGAACTTCCCGGGCTATTACTTAAGTAGATTATTCATACGGTTGAATGACTTATTTCAGAGTTATACCTAATCCTTGCCAAAAAATAAAAAATAAACCAGGTCCCCTGTTATGGAAATCTCAATGCCTTTTACTTACTGCTTGTGTCTTATCAGGTGTGATTGATGTGTTGGTGAGGAATGGAAGACAGATTGATGCTGTAAATTTAGCTTTTGCTTTTCAACGTACCGATCAGTTTTCACCTGTTGCATTACTGAAATCCTACTTGTCTGAGGCCAAAAAAGCGCCATCTTCCCCAAAACCTGGAAATACATCGCCTAGTGCCTCTCCACAGGTTTGCTTATTATGTCTCTGTCTTTATTCGATCTTTTGGTGAATTCATCTTTTGTCTATGCTTTCTTGATTTCGCGCTTGCTCGATTTTGGAAAATTTACAAAATGTGTTCTTGAGTTGTACCGAAATTAAAAAAAAAAAAATTATTCACATTTCAAAATTACAACCTACCCCTGTTTCAGATTTTTTCTACTTTGATAAACATCCTCTACTGATATTTATGGTTCAATCTGTAAAATGGAGAAACTCTGGGGTATTTATTTTTAATTAGAAATGAAAAATTAACTACCCAAAAGATTAAATATGCTACTATTCTGCTTAATATACTAAACCAAAAAGTTTAAATATGCCACTATCATTTGAAAGTACGACTAACCTGCATTCAAATGGTGTAATAAACCGTTCTCCACATAAAGACTCGTTTTTTGACACAAAATCTTTTTCTAGGCAACCCAAAATGACGTGAACGAGAAAGAACTGTCTGCACTCAAAGCCGTGATCAGGTGCATCGAAGATCACAAAATCGAGCATCAGTTCCCCGTGGGCCCACTCCACAAACAGGTGGCCGAGATGGAGAAGGCAAAGGCTGACAAGAAACGGGCCACAGAAGTTTCCAAGCCACAGCCCAAAAGGCCCCGTGCAAATGCCATAGCCCACGGGCCTCGGGCCCATAATGAGAAGAACAACAACTACAGGTACCCCCCACAGCATTACATTTACGAGAGGCCGTATGTCTATCCGGGGCATGTGGGCCCGCCTGCAGCCTATAATAGCTTCTCACCGGGACATGTTAACTTCTTTGGGAACGGTGGTTATCAGTATCAAACCGCGTACTTGCACTAATCCCACTAGGATGATGATGATGATGATTGATTAATGAGGATGATTTATGATGATCCTCTTGACTATTAGTGATGACCTTTTATTTCCTATTGTGTAATGCTGAACCTTTTTTAAGAGCTTTTAATTAAGTATTTTGAGGAGAAACTGAATGATGGGCATTTAGATTAAGCCTTGTTGAACTAATTTTCCTAGCCTGTTGTGTTGTGAAAGCTAATATCCTCATGTTGTAATGGATGTATTGTATTCTACCCTTTTTCTTTTTTTTTTTATTTTTTCTTTCTAATTTAATGTTCATATATGTTATTTTGTTATTTTGCTTTTTCTCGGTTTCTTGTTTGGGCTTTAGCTCTAGATTAATGCTTGTGCCATGTCCCTAGAGACTGAAGCAAAAGCTGAAATCTAAAGCCATCAAATCTGAAAATGTTGATCCACTAGAATGGCTAATCAGATCTGATGAAGAGTCAATAACTCAAATGTCTTAAAGACGAATGACTAATCAAATCTGATGAAGAGTCACTAAATTTATTCACGGGCAATATCAAACATATCTTAAAGAAGAAGCGAAAATTGCATATCTAAATCTACCAGGCCTAAAAACTCATATTCACTCAAAAAACATATCTTAAAGAAGAAGCAAAATTTGCATATCTAAGGGCATCTTTAGTGAGAGGCTTTCCTCAAGTTTATAAACCCCGTCCCCAACTTTTGCTATTAAATGAGTAAGATTTGAGGTTTACGTTTCCACAACAGGTTTGCAAACCAAAACCTCCCATAAACCTCTTTTGTGGGCCCATTTTACATTTAACAAAAATAAAAAGTAGATTTATAATTTTAAGATATTAATAAAATATAATAGTATAATATTAATTAAAAGTAAGTGAGAAATATGTGAGACCTATAAAAAATGAAGTTTATGGGGTTTATTGTTATTGGAGGTTTATGGGTGTAGGAGTAAGGATGAAATTTTAGATGATGTGGTATGTTGAGAAGTGTAAAAGTGAGATTTACGGAGGTTTTATGAAAAAATATTGCTAAGATGCTCTAAAGCTATAAAGCCTAAAAACTCTATAGTTCACTCGAAGGACTAAATAGATCTAATGATAGGAACTGACTTTATTGAAAAGATGGATAATTGTAGGAACTAGGAAGTAGCCAACTTGAGAAATTTTTAAAGTTCCTGCAATTACATTCTTTTGTTTATTTTAATTTTTATTTAGAAGCCCAAGTTTCAACTGGGCCTGGTTGGCCCATCTCTCTGTGTCAACAATCAATATCAGTTATAAATTATACCCAAATCCCGACAAGTAGGGATGTAAATGGGTCGGGCCGGGTGCGGGTTTTGACATACCCGTACCCGACCCGCCGGCAAAAAAATGCACCCATACCCGGCCCGCTACCCGATTAATCACCACGGGTTCGGGTTGGGTTTTACCCGTCGGGTAATTGGGTATCCGCCGGGTAAACGGGTACCCAAATTGTTGCAGTCAATTGGGTTTGATCGGGTTATTTTTACCCGCTTACCCGTCACCCGAGTACCCTGAACCCAACCCGACCCGACCCTGTGCCTAAAAAAAAAAGCAAATGCATTCAAATTGCCAGCTCGACACCATATTAAATATATTTCAAATTATATTGAAATATATAATAATTAAAATACATGATTATAAAACATAAGATTGAAATTAATTTTTGCTTTTGTTAAAAAATATATAATAAAATGTACTTTTAAATTCAAATTAACAATATAATACTTATTTGAAATGATATAGCGAGAGATATCTATCACTGAGAAAAAAAAATAGTTGTCTAAATTTAACACATAACTTATATGCGTTATAAAGAATGTTATCATCTCTTTCGCATATCATACACTATTTTTACTTCTCACGAATTCCCAATTATACTCCAAATAAGTAGCATTATAAATTTGTACACATTATTTTTACACAGATAATATTTGTAAAGATATAAATATATTGAATACACTATACACGTATAAACTTATTTATCAAGTTCATTATTATTTATTATATATATGCTATTTTCAATAATTAGATCTATTCTTTAATATAAAAACTATGAATTCATCACATTTATATATGTGGATAGGTTATTTGCTTGCATAGATTTTCATTTTTCAAGTACAGGTAATAGAGTAACAGACTAACAGGTTTGCTTTTTTCATTTTTTATTTTTGATTTTCCTTCTCTCCTTTTTCATTTCGTGATTCGTCCTAAATTATATGAATGATCTGTTCCATCTTCATTCTTCAATCTTCAATATCTATGAAATTTTTAAAATACTTTGATTACTAAATTATTATTTTTTGAAACATAAATTTTTTGTATATCTATATATATATATAGTTATTAAGTGTGCGGGTAATCGGGGCGGGTAAAAGTATGGGTCGGGTAAAAAACCCCGCCGGGTAAATGGGTCGGGTAATCGGGTCGGGTGGTGGGTTTTTTCATTGAACCCATACCCGACCCGACCCGGTGTGCGGGTAAGAAGGAAAAACCCATGTACGACCCGCGACCCGGTATTTTCGGGTTTACCCGACCCGGTTTTTCGGGTTACCCGCGGGTAACCCGACCCTGTGGGTTTTTCTGACAACCCTACCGACAATCACATTTCCTCCTCTCAAGAAGCCCTAATTTCCCCTTTTCATCTTCGTTTAATTCTGATCCTTTTCTCCTCTCACATGGATTCTTTGCTGGCCAATTACGCCTCCTCAGACGACGACCAACCTTCGCCGCGGGTGCCGTCGGAAAAACCAGTGAGATCGGATTCCATAGCCGGAGACGAGAGAGGTGAAGAAACTTCTCCTCCAAAATCCACCGCAACACGCGGGTGGGATCTTCAACTCTCTCCCGCCGCCCAAATCGTCCCTCTTCAATTCACTCCCCCTGCCCGAATCGAAGCTCTTCACTAACCCTAAGCCCCAAATCGAATCGGAGCATCAGAGAGAAGTTAACGGCCGCGACGAGCAAAATGCGGGAAGTTCGAATCCCAAACCTTCATCCGCCCAAAACGTCTTCATCGTCGTCATCATCTTCTACTGCGAAAAGGGTTGTTCAATTTAGGCCTCCCCAAATTGTAAACCCGAAGAAAGGTGGTTCTGGCGATGAGGATGAACAGGTAAGGCAGAGGAAGAAAGCCAAATAGACGATATCTACAGCTTCTGCAACCTCATTCTTGTCCAGTATTCCGCCGCCCTAGCACTCGGCCACTCTCGGAAGCTTGCCTTCGGCATTGGGTAGAAGATTGATGCTTGAAACGGATACTCGAGCCTCCATTGCAACTACGGGAAGCGATTCAGTTGTTGGTCCCGTTAAGCCTAGTGAGGTGAGTCATGGCTATTCTGGTTTGAATTCTGAGAGTGCATATTATGATGAAAATGCTGCTGATGGTAATTTTGATTTGGCCCCTGAAAGTGGGATTAGCATAGGAATTGATGCTGGCACGAACCACATTAATACTGTTAACGACTATTCTAGTAGTTCAGGTGGTGAAAGCTCTGCATATTATGGTTATTATGGCATTGGCCCATCGGATGTTAGTGGGGTTGGTATGGCTGCAACTGAAGGGTCCTATGGAGCATCTGATTAACCGTATGGAAATGGGGATTATGCGGCTTATGCCGCGGTTATGGGGATTATGGTAATAATGCACAATATGAAAATAACTGGAACAATATGACTGGTTTGCCAGAGCCTGAGGTGTCGGGAGCTGTTGAACCTTCTTTTCCCATTCCTGGCAAGAGGGGCCGGAAAGATGTTCCACCTCAGATATTTGAGGTGAAGCAGGATGAGTTGATAAAAAATCGACCAAGGGAGGATCAAGTCAAAATGATGGGGGTTGCGTTCGGCCCTGCATATCAGGTAACTTTCATATGTTTATGTACTCGTTTGAATTTATCCTTACAAGGTTTGTAGTTTACTTCTATATGTACTGCTCCTCTATCTTTGTAACGTTATACATGATTTTTATCTTGCTTAATAGTAGGAGAGCTCATTGTTACATGTTGAAATGC